TGTCTCCAGGCTCTGCTCCCAAAGCTGCTGGGACTCAGCAGGGCAAGGTCTGGCGCAGCTGCCCCACATCTGGGCTGAGGTTGCTGAGGTTGGGGTTTCAAGCTCCTTTATATCATGTCTTTTCATTTCCAGCACACAGGCAACCAGCACCATGTGCCAGGAGACTTGTGGGGGGCCGTGCACCAGTACGTGGGATTCACCTCCAAACCTGAGCAGGTGCCACACTGCAGGGACACTGGCTTTGCTGCTGTCATGGAGCTGCAGGTAAGAGCCTGGGACTGGTCCCAAGGGGCTGAGGGCAGGGGCAGGTGGGAAGGACTGGGGTGTTGGATGGCTCTGTGGGGTTGTGCACCACAGCACCCTCTCCCGTGCAGCTCAGCAGTGGTGTGGGAACAATCAAGGTGCACAAACCTGGCTTTTGTACCCAAGGGGAGCAGCGTGGCCCGTGAGCCCAACCACAGGGAGTCCCTGGCTGCTGCTGCACCCAAAGAGCAGGGCCAGGAGCCCGAGGCTGTGCCCTGTGCAGGCTCATCAGGCTGCTCAAACCAGGAGCACAGCTTCTCTCCAACAGCTTAGTCGTGCCAACGACCGGGGTCACGCTCACACCACATTAACAGCCCAACGTTTACTCAGAAAACTTTATTGTATCAAAAGTCCCACCTTACAAAAGTGCAAAGAAGAGTTGCTTTGGGCCCCGTGCCGGCCACGCAGCAGGGAAGGCAGGGCCAGCACCCAACAACCCAGCAGCAGTCAGAGGGGTCAGCAAAGTTCCAGCAAAGTCAGCCTTGCTCTGACCTGCTGCAGTGGTGGAAACTGGTCTTGGTGTGGGAGGAAAGGAGCTGTGGGCAACCTCTGCCATTAGCAAATGGCATGGACTAAATGCCCCCAGGGAGCAAGACCAGGAGAGCAGCACAGGGTGCCTGTCTCCTTCCTGGGCCAGCCCCAGGACACACTTCTGCCTATCACAAGTGACATCCCAGTGCAGTGCAGGAGAGGGACCAGCTCTCAAGCACTTTCTTCCCAGGTGCCTCATCCTCACCCCCTTCAAGAACTCTCCATGTGGGATAAAACTTCACAAGTTAACCAGAAACTGAGCAAAGTGACTCTTTACAAGGAACAGAGAGGGAATTCCTTCTCCTGCACCATCCTCCTACTGGGACACCACCACGTGCCCTCCTGCTCCATGCACAGCTCCCCAGTGTCAGTGGTTCTAGCCATCACCAGTGAGGAGCCGGACCAGTATGCCCAGCAGCAGGACAGCAATGGCAGTGGTGGCAGCCAATACACGACGGATGATCAGGGCCTTCCATGGCACAGGAGGAAGAGCAGGGACAAATGCCAGCTCCTCCTGAGTGATCAGCTGGTGGTCAGGTTGCCTCTCACCTCCCACCATGTTCTCAGGCAGGACCACAGTGTCTGCGGTGTCAGCATCCACAGAGACACAATCTGTGACAGAGAGGTGAGTGCTGCAGGGAAGCTGAGCTGCCCAGCCTGATGCTGCCCAGGTGCCAGTGCCAGTCCCCAGGGCCCTTTCCCAAGGCTCAGGGACACAGGGACATGCCACAGCACGGTGGCAGGTGTTCCCAAGTATGGCAGATGCTGGCTGTCAGCCCAGGCTCTTCCCTAGAGCAGCCAGGGTGGTGACAGGGGCAATAGGGTATCTTGTACCCAGTTCCTAAGTACAGAAGTGCCACTGGGTCATCTGGGCAGACATGGCTGCCATGAATGTAGATGACAGGAAGGGTTGGGTGGAGAATTTGGGTTCTCTCCCTATTGCCAGACCTGGTTACATACCTACAGCAGATGTTTTGTTAGCAGCTGTGTCACTGGAGTTCACATCTTCCAGTTGTTTTTTCAGACCAGCTCGGACTTGAGCCTAAAAACACATGGAAGGGTTGCTCTTCCCAGAGCAGGGGTGTCCTGCCCAGCCAAGCAAACTTCAGCCTTCTCCCTCCACAGCCAGCGTGCTCAGCACCAAACTGCTGCTCCACTGGAGGAGAGGGACAGATTCTGATTCCCTTTTGCCTCTTCCCAGAGGGCTGTGACACTGTACTGGGACAGGAACTCCTCTGAATCTCCTAGAGAGAAGCACAAGCCTCACCTCCTCTGCAGCTTTCTTCCAATCCATGTGCATGACAAAAGCCGAGAAGGAAAGGGCTTGTAAAGAGATGCAAATGATCATTCCCACCCACAGACCTGAGGGATGGAGAGTTACTTCAGGGAGGGCCTGAGGAAACCCTGCTTTTGCCTCCCACTGCCTCCATGCCCAAGGACTTCAGATTATCACCCCGTGTCTAACTCCACCTTGATGGAAGAGGAAACAGCTCCTGGGCATCCTATGCTGGGGGCATTTGGATTTACTGGAACAACCTTGGAGGTTTTTAAGGCCAGGTTGGATGAGGTTTTGTGCAACCTGATCTAGTGGTGGGGTTCCCTGCTCGCGGCAGGGGGATTGGAACTTGATGTCTTTAAGGTCCCTTCCAACCTTCATGATTCTATGATCTCAGCCCCAGTCGGAGGGGGGCAACTCAGAACCTGCAGCAGCTGAACCCTGGGATCCAGCCCCACCGCAGCAGGATCTGAGCCCAAGGCTCGGGATGGCAGCTGGTCCAGCGCCGAGCAGAGGAGGGACACGTACCCAGCACCCCCATCCTGGCTGCAAACATCAGGGAGATGCCGACGGGGAGCCCGATGCCGTAGTACCCGATGGCGTTGGCGGCCGCTCCCAGCTTCTGGCGGCCCGTGCCCCGCAGGACACCCCCGCAAGTGGCCTGGGGAGAGCGGGCAGAGGGTCAGGAGGGGATGGCACCTGCTGCGGGAGGAACCGGCACAGCAGCTCTGGGCTGTGGCACAGCCCGGGGACCCAGGGAACCCGCAGAGCCAAGAGAGACCCGGGCGTGGGGCTGTGCGGGGCTCCAGCTGCTGCCCCAGGGGCTGTGTGCCCAGGGACCTGCCAGCAGACCCTGCAGGGCTTGCCAGGCTGCCTGGGTCCCTCTGCCAGGGACAGGCAGGAGGCAACAGGCTGAAATGACTATCTAACAAGTTGTAGGAGCACTGCTGTTGAGCTGTGAGTGCCTGACCTCTCTGAAGATCCATCTGCTCATTTGAGCTGCTCTGACAAGCTAGTAAAGAGCTGAAGCCTTGTCAGGGGAAAAGGGGGAGGAAGAGCTGGGTTGTTCTGCAGCAAAGGGCAGCTCCAACCTGCAGAGAGGAGGAATCACTCCCCGTGCTGGAATACTCACTGCTGCTGCATCAAACAAGTGGAACGGAGCAAAGATGATCATCACTTTGGACACCAAGGTAGCAATCTCCCTGTTGGGAAGATGCAGGTACTGGTCAAGAAAAACAGCATGGCCTGGTTGCAAGGAACACCAATTCTGACCTATCTCCCTCAGCCTGATCCCAGCCCAGGAGACCTGAGGGGATGTGTGCAGCTTGGGTACCACCACAGCAGTGGCCCAGTGTCAGCAGTACCCATGCTGCCCCATGGGGAGGAACCTTTGGGGAGCATGGTTGCCAGATGGAGGTTTATGAATTATCTCTGTCAGCAGAGTTTGAGCAGCTCCTGGGATGTAAATCACACCCTCCAAGAACATAATAACACTCCAGAGCAAGCTGTTAACCCACTTGTCATCGGTGAAGATGTACCCCACCACGTCCTTCAAGGTTCCCAGTAATGTTGCAACCACCACAGCAAAAACTTCTGAAAGAAAAAGGAACAGTCAGGCTGTTTGCCTCAAGGGCAGCAGGTCCCACTCTTTTATTCCCCTCTGCAGGACCTGGGCTGACCTGTGCACAGCAGGGCAGTAATGCAGGAGGTCTTGGCTTG